GTCTTTTCTGCTATATCCTGAACCTTTAGCAGTAATTGTTTTCTAAATAGATGATTATATGGTAAGTGTTAGTGCTTTGCTACTAAAAATGAATGAATAGTGTGCAACATGTGATTTAAATGGGGCTTATCAAAAACTATATCCAACTTGAGGGGTTCCAAGATGATAGAGAGGCATTCAGTCATGACTGTCTCTGGTGTTCCTCCTGGGCCTTTGATAAATCTTCATTTCTCATCAGCTCTGTGGAAGTTGGATAGCAATGACTTTTTAAGCAGAAGAGTCCTTTGCCAAGAATATGCTTCATTAATAATTTGTTTTCGGGCAAATGTTTTTTGGTAGCAGCATGATTTGAAGCTGGGTTGCTCTTGTTTATGCAGAGAAAAAGCTACGCTTTTAACATAGGTTATCAGTAAAATTCCGTTGGTGATTTGGCCTTGAAGGTTTGAGAAATGTTTTTTGTCCATGGTACATATACTTAAACTTTTTGACGGTCTTTTTGAATTCATAAGTGGTTTTTGGAGCAGTATGGTTTCTTCCTGCATTCAACATCCATAGCAGTCTTAGACACAGGTAGCTGTTATCTGGGTTAGAAGCCTATGCTGTGTAACTTTTCATAATTTGCCTAAAGATGTCACATTCAGGAACCTTAAGAAGAAGCTGTTAGTTCAGAGTGGGTGGCTTGCTCTGCGCAAGTTCTAATAATTATTCTGAGAGTTACCTCAGAAATATCTGCCCTTATAGAGAGGGGTTAAGAGGAAGCCTTCACAGTAAGACTTCTTGCAAAAATTACAAAGAAAGTGGCACGTTTAAAATAAAACAACTCAAAACATCCAAGTTGAAAGGGTTATAATACAATTCACCGAATTAAAGTATTTCTTCTGTTTAGGAAGTAATCTCAAAAAGAATTGCACTGGTCATTTCATCATAAAATAAATAATAAATGGATCTAATCCCACTTAGGAGCTTGGACTTTCACATAGCCTTACTTCTACAAGGAGAAAATCATACATTAGTGACATCTAGAATTGTGAGGTGGGCTGCATCAGTTACACAAGGTGCTGACCAAGAAAAAGCATCCTGTCTGAAGACAACTGAACACAAAGTAAGTCCATAAGACCTATTGGGGTCAAATGAATACAGGACTTGCTGTATGCATATAATACTTTTGTTTTGTTTGTACTAAGGTGGGGGTAGTGCTGGTTGTACAGCAGATGCATCACATAAGTATGACCTGGCTCCCCATCTCTACTCCTATTCCACCCTCCCCCACGCTCTGAACTCAAATGGACTGCATTAGTCCTCCAGGTCTCATAAAAAAAATCATATCTTCCTGGTTCATATGTCTTTACCCACAATTTATTCTGAAAATTCTCCAAATATTCTCATATCTAAGTTACCACAAATGTGGGTAGCCAGCTACCCAGTTTCTGTACAAGCTTGAAGGACTTTTCCTATCTTTTCCAGTCTCCTTACTCCCCTTCATTCATTATTATGACTCAGTGACACTAGTCTCTTTACTGTTATTCCCACGAGGCACTCACTCCATTTATAAACTCCAGGCATGGAATCCCCCATGCCTGGAATACTTTCCTTCCTCATCTCTGACAGAATTCCCTGGCTTTCTTGAAGTCTCAGCTAAATCCCACCTTCTGCAAGAAGTCTTCCCTAGTCCATCTTATTATGAATTCTTTGAAGGTAGGGAATATTTTTGACTTTGATTATGTCCCCCATTGCTTAGCATAGTGCCTAGCATATAAGAACTTAATAAATGCTTGTCGATTGGACTCGATGGTAGCCCACATGCAATCAGCATAATTTCTCTCTTTCTCTTGTGGGTATTTTCTCTCAAGTTCCTAGAGGGCTTCTCACTCAGCATCACCCCATGATTTGAACTCCTTGAGTAGGGAAACCAAGCTTTGTGTTGGCAGCAAGGAAGCACCTTGACATCCCAGGGAATTCCTTATTCCTTCACAAGTTTCTCCCACAGTCTCTTCCAGATTTGTACAGTCACCCTTTGTTTTGGACTCTTCTGAGAGGGAAAACATGTTTTAGGGTTCTGGATGTGCAATTTCCTTCCTATTGACCTTCCATTCTCCAAATAGTTTATAGTGGTAATGGGGAAGAAACTACAAATTTTCTGCTCTCCCATATTGTGGCTTTAGTACCTCATTGTTTCACCAGCTCTCGGGTTGGGGGAAGGTGATTCTCTTCTCTTTCCAAGAGGCACACTGCTCAGAAACTCTACTTCACCCTCTAGAAGTCAAGACACTTACACTTTTGAACTTGAGGTTACTCTTGGGGCAGCCTCTAAAACTGTTGCTGTTCAAGAAATATCTTTTTTCTGGCTAGAAGGCTATATTCTAGGATCACACTATTTAGAAAATAATAAGGTACATTGTCTATGAACATATGCTCCTTCCATGTGCTCTTCTATGATACTCCAGCATTGCCATGGCTGCTGAAATCTGGTTTCAGGAAACTTACTTTCAGGAACTCTCCTCTGGGCTGATTGGGTGAAAAAGCTGCCATCAAGCACGCACAACTTCCATGTGCTTCTACTTCAAAACAGTCTTATAAAGGAGAAATGTCTTCTTTTGTTTTTTCCCCTTCCCTCCCCACATACTCTGGAAAAAAGGGGAGGGGCCAGGTAAAAGGTAAAAAGAAGCTCCCCCCGCCCCTCCCCCCCGCCAAAAAAGGCACATGTAGAAAGTTCTGTTGCCTCTCTTTATAGGCTAATGGAGATGGTGGCTTCTCCCAACAAAATACTCCCAAGGGTCCAAGCCAACCAAATAATATTAAGGGCATTCTTAGTGACTAAAACTTAAGCAGAGATTGTCTTTTGTTTTCTTTACAAGGTATCAAATTGACATTTAAAGAGTCCTCTAAGGAGAACACTTTAAAGAGAACAAATTATGGAAAATTGATGGCTTCAGACCAAGGTTCACCACCCTGTAAGCTTATCAAAATACTCAGAGAACTCTTCATACCCTCATGTGTATACTGCTCTGCTTATATATGCGATAATTTAAGGGGGAGGGAGAAAGTACTAATATCTAAAGAGAATGGTTAAAGGTTTAGCACAGGATATGACATATTAGCAGAGACTTGAAGGAAGATATGGATTCTAAGTGGTGGAGATGACCACAGTGTATTCTAAGCATGGGGAAAGCCTGCTCTAAAAGGCATGGGATTGGGAGATGGAATACTGAGTTTGGAGAACAGTGAGTGGGCCATTTTGGCTTTAATACAATGTTCATGAAAAGGCATGATATACAATAATTTTGGGATATAGGTTATAGCCAGATTGTATTGAACATTAAATGTCAAATTGAGGGATCTTAATTTTGTCTTAGAGGCAATAGGAAGTCATTAAAAGTTGTTGAGTAGGACGCTGATATACTCAGACTTTAGGAGAATTTTAGGAATATATTTTTTGACATCTGTTTTGACTAGGGCTGCATATATAGATCTGAGAGCTATCCACATTAAAAAAAAGTGAACCTACAGGAAAAGATGAGGGCTCAATACTGGGCTGAGCTAACCCACAGTTAGGGAGTGGGATATGTATTATTATCCATAATATTCCCTTCTACCCCCCAACTTCTGGCTGTGAAAGGGAGGAAAAATATATGTAGGAGTATAGTTTGAGGGAGTGGAAGGATAAAGGATAAGTTTTTTTTTAAGGATAGAGAAACCATGTTCAGTAATTTAACATGACAATTATTAAATTATGCAAGAATCTATTTATTTGAATTGCTATAATTCAGTTCTTATGAGACAGAGAATCAAGAAATAGACCTTCTACACAGCTATACAATCACAAAGAAAGAAAGAGGAGAAGCCACCACCACAAACTCTGAAAACTTGGTCATCTAAGGCACACATCACAATGGAAATTTAAGATGTGAATAAGTTAGGTGTCTTTAGAAATGGTACAATTTTAAAGAGCACTTTTCACATGGGAAAAATTAGTGCAGCTTCCAAGGACACCTAACTAGCCAGGGCATGGCATAGGTCCTGGAAGAGTCTGATTTAAAGTAAAATGTTTGAGTTTTATGTCACAAACCACTACTTCTTTCTTCAATGAAATAAATGAGTTTTTTCCACATTTCTAGTTAGTTTAAATGTCTAGCTAGTTTAAAAAACCTAACAGAGAAATAAATCACCATACGTTATATAGTTTCCAGACGACAACGACCTTTTTAGTTGAGAATGTGATGAATAGGAACAAAAGCTGCTATTATGACATCCTGCATGAGGCAATCATAGAGGCTTGCTGAAAGCCAACTTTCATGGAGTAAGGGAAATAACCATTTAATGAATGAAGAGTACAATATTAATTTACAATAAAGCCTTCATGGGCTCATACTACTTTTAGATTTTTAAGTAACTGTTTAGAACCAGGAAGGGTCAACAAAGAACTTGATTTAAAAAAAAAATTAACTGAGGCAGGGACATGATTTTTTTATTAAAACTAAAATGAATAAAGGCAGCTTGATAATTTTATTCATTTTCTTTTTAACTAGTATCTTACTTTTTTTCAGATAATTGAGCAGTCAAAGAGATTGCTTCCAAAAGTGTGCCAGTGTCTAGTTCTTCCAATTGTTAACTTCACTCCTGTTCAGAATCAAAATGACTCTTAGCTTTTTACAATTTACTGCTTTTCAAATAGCATGACAAGGTAGTAAGATCTTAATGTGCTCTTTTGTTCTTAAGTTTTGTCTATAAAAGTATACAAGTCTTTTTCAAATGTTTTAATTAAAAACAGTTAGCAATTGCATACGTATATGTATACATATGTATTTCTTTCTACAAAGAAATTTCATATTGAATGCTAATAAGCAGCTACATGTTAGGCTACATATATAAGCAAATCACAAATATAGGAATCATTATAAATAAACACATAAAAGAAAACAAAACAGTGATACATGAACACTAAGAACATTGATATATGAAATAGGAAAAGTTCATCAGGATTACAACAGCAATATAACACCCTAATGTGGGACATAATTCAGAGTTTTTCTGCTTAATATCCCAACTGTATCCCTCTTGCCATATGTGTTGGATCCCACATTGGTAGGAGAGAAAATTGCTCCGATATTGTTGTTGGATCGAACTAGAAAGTCAGCCAGGCGCTGTGTCACACATGTGGCCGTGTTACATTTCCTTTTTTCCAGATGATGACTAAGAATATAAAACAAAAGTTAAAAGTTAGAATAAGGGAATCAGGGCTTCTGTGTTCAGTTTTCAGATCACCCACTAATTGACTAACTATGGAGGCACCATATATGTAGATGGAAAATGAAAGAAAACTATTCAAATAATTGACAGTTTTTCCATTTGTAAATGATTTTAGTTTTCACTTAAAAAAATTATGTTCCATGGCATCTTGTAGGCATAGACTTTTGGTGAGGGCATTGTAAAAATGTAGCCATTGCTATTCCCCATGTCATTTCCTAATCAAGATCACATTTCCCAACACTTTCTCTGTATGTTCATTAAGAACTGGTTTTAATTTTTTAAAATTTTTATTTTTTTAGGAATTAGGGTTAAATGACTTACCCAGGGTCACACAGCTAGTAAATGACAAGTGTTTGGTCTGAGGCCAGATTTGAACTCAGGTCCTCCTGACTTCAGGGCCTGTGCTCTGTCCACTGTGCCACCTAGCTACCCCTCTAATTTTTTTTTAAAAGTAACTTTGATTTACATTTTTCAAGCAATTTTTCATTCCAGCCTTACTTATAGCTTAAAACAGTCTATAAAATAAGTATGAAATGTCAAATTAAAGTACAACATTGAATATCAAGTAAATTACTTGCCTTTTGTAAATTTCTCTGAGATCATTAGATGTAAGACATTAGAAAGAAGTGCTAATTCTTGTAAAATCTCATGAGGAATCAGAATTTCCACCTGTTCAGGCACTCTGACTTATAATGTAGGAGTTATATTACTGTTAGCATAAATACATGAACCTTACTATCATCCTGTCACCTACTTGGCTCTTAAAAAAAAGTTATAGAGTATACTTTTAATGGTTTTAAAATGATAGGACTAGATTAAATGTTATATTTAAAAGATTTTTTATATTAGTCATATTACTATTCAGCATAATGTCTCAAGTAACCTGGAAAAGCTCTAAAATAATATTATAGCTTAGGTAGACAATGCCAACTGTTATAGATTGCTTAGCTTGTAGCAGAACTTTTGATTCCATCTGACTTACATCCCTGAATTAGCTTTTTAAGAATTCTAGCATGCTTTCAAAATGCTACTAGAATAGATACAGAGGTAAAAAGTATCATCCCCCAAAACATAAACTCGATTTTTGTAGGTCAATCACCAGAGTCACTAACAAGACAAATATGGAAATGTTTTGACTTCACCCTGTGCTTGAAATAAAATGGAGAGTTGAACTATATACTTGTTTCATGTATATGAACCATCAAGGAAAATTTAGACCAAATAAACTGCTTTTATTTCAGAAGTGGTATTTTTGTGTCAGTTATCTTTTTTATGTATGGAGTGCTAGAATTGTATTCAGGAAGAACTGGGTTTAAATTCTGACTCAGACATTTACTAGCTATATGACCTTGTGCGAATCACTTAACCTCTTTATGACTCAGGCAACTCTGTTAATATTTATCTATTGAGTCACAGATGGATGACAATCTGCATTTATAGCTAGAACTCCACCAGTTGACACTGGTAGCTCCCACTGGGGAGCTTACTGGTTAAAAAACCACAGTTGTTTTGCATATTTGCTTATTTCTATAAGTCATACTCCTTTTGTAGAGGTAGCTGGAGTGTCTCCATGGGATCTAAAGCTTTAAGTTTCAACTAAAGTGTCTTGGCCCATCTTGGTCCTGGGGAACTGATAAAATAATATGTCTTCATTTTTTTTTTTTTTTTAGACAATTGGGGTTAAATGACTTGCCCAGGATCACACAGCTAGTAAGTGTCAAGTGTTTGGTCTGAGGCCAGATTTGAACTTGGGTCCTCCTGACTTCAGGGCCGGTGCTCTATCTACTGGGCCACCTAGCTGCCCCCATCTTCCTCTTCTTAAGAGACATATAGAGACTATAGATTCAGAATGCCAGATGCAGTTGTTCTGTCAGTAGGCTTTATTTGCATGTGTTTTGTTTTGTTTTGATCACAACTATGCATTCAATGGGGGATTAGGACTATATATAGGTATAGTTTTAAGGGGGAAATGTATGATGTAAAAATGAAAGGCACCAATAAAACTATTAAAAATAAAGTACCTTTATCTATATATCTATTTACCTCACAGAAACAAGATAATCTGATAGGGCTTATGGTAAGGACAATGGCTGAAGTTGAGGTAACATGGTTTGGAAATGGCTAGAAAGTGATATACAGGTGTAGTTCTAGTCAATATAAACACAAAGTTCACCTAACAGAGCAGTCTCCAAGGGACACAGTCTAAAGTTCTCGTGAGAGGAGGAAGTTCCACTTGTACTTGGCCAATATCTGCCTCTGGAATGATTAGCTCTGATATATGATCTTTTCTAATCTTGCCAGAATCAGACCTCTACCTCATTTCCAGGACATTTCCAAAGCATGGTGTTCCTCAATCTCTGTATTGCTCTATTCTGTATGTTTTCTTTTCCTCATTAGAATGTAAAGTCCTTTAGGTTAGGAACAATCTTAATTGACTGAATTTGTATCTCCAACACTTAGCACAATGTCTGATATATAGTAAATATTTAATAAATGCTATATTATTCATTCATTCATTTATTCATCCATCCATCCATTCACTTTGACCAATAATTCAGACTCTACCTCCAAATTGCTTAATTTATTTTCCAATACTGTTCAAATTATGAATATAATTCGGTACTTTACTTTTCTGGTATAGATATAGCTATAGTATAGTTTAATAAGCTTAAAATTCTGGGGGCTGAACTCTTAGAAAATAGTTTTAAATTCTGAGGCCACTAAGACCTTTCCTTCTAGCAGAAACAAGCTTATGTTTTATCTTGAAGCTTGGGAGTAAGAACAATTTGTTCTAAATACTTCAAACAGGCAATTTTCAAAGCATCTGAGATAATTGTAGATTAAATGACTATTAGAAAATTTCAAAATGAGATATGCCTTTCGATAAGCTTGGCCAAGGTCTAGAAAAGGAAAAAGAATTAATTTTATAGGCAAAATGTCTAAGAGACTTTGGCCAAGTTGGGAAGTGGATAAAACAACTATTACTTTAAAAATATCTAACTTTGTTTAGAAATATCAATTTGAGCATCAACCGATTATCAAGATTTTATTAAGTGCCTACTTTTGTTAGGTGCTGTGAATATAAAGACAAAAACAAAACAGTCCCTGCCCCCTAGGAGCTAACATTCCATTGAGGAAGAAGAGATGTAAGTTGTTAATTTTCAACTTATCAAAATTAAAGCCATATTTAATAAAAGATAACATTAACCTTAAGAAGAAACAATATGGTGTGTTAATTGGTTCCTTGATGGTAGAACTGTCTTGCCGGTGAAGACATTTCAGATAAACATATAGTTTCAGTTCAGGTGAGCAAATAACTCACTACCATGACATGAAGATGGTCAAGGAATCCTACTAGAGTTCATTTCACCACCATTTTTTAATGTCCTAGGTTATGGATGAGCTAGACCTGTCTATTTGTCTACCTGGCTACTCACTAATGGTGAACTATCACTGAGACACATGAATTTGAGTTATAAGGTGTAAGTGACTTGAAAGAAAAAAATACTTTTGGATATTTTAATCTGAAATATTTATGAACATTAACTATAAAGATCTCTAAAATCTTTCCATCTCAAAGGTTGAGTCCATTTTCTTTGCTATAGTACTCTTTCTATCTTTGACTTGTCCTATCCAAGGGTAAGTACAATTAAGATATATTACTTCATGTGCTGAGGTCAGTAAGCTAGAACATGGACAAAGGAGTACATAGAGGGCTCATGAACTACTTTGTCACCCCCAAGGTTTTAATTGAACCACCTGCATGTTTTTAAAAGATTGAAATAAAGCAGGAAAAAAACTCCACTGAATCATAAACTATCAGGACTGGAAGAGCTTTAGAAATCTCTAGTCCAAACCCTCATTTTATAGGTAAGGACTGTGAAACTCAAGAGAGGTTAAATAAATCATTCAAGGTGATACTATTAAATAGCAGAGTTGGGACTTAAAATAAAGTCTCTCATTTCCCAAACCGGTGGAAGATACAGATTGGGCAAATACACAGTGCAAGTCTTTGCCTCTTATATGTCTCAAATGTAGCTGATTTTCATGTACTTGTAGATATACAACATAAATGGCCTAAATTGTAAATTTTAATGAATGGAAAAATCAAAAATGAAAATGATTGAGTTTCCAAAAGAAGGCTGATGACTTGCTTTTGGTTTGATTTTTAAGGAGTCAATTGGAATTTATATTGTTTGTCTAGGCTTTAAATAAAATCTTGTTGCACAATTAAAGAACTTCGTACGATTAAACCCTTGTCTTTTAACCAAACAGAGCAGTGTGGTTTCAACTATCTTAGTTAAAAGCAAAATTCTAGAATTTTTTAGAAAACAAAACCTAAATACTAGGAGACAATTTAAAGTCAAGAGATTGTGAAACTAACACCCAAATTATTTGAAGACAATGAATTTTAGTGAACTGGGTAACCATCCCATCTCCAAGTGAGAGCTATGTAATAACAGGCAAAGCTATGTAGAGACATGTTTCATAAATGTGCTCAGTAAATGTCTATTATCTAATGAAATAAATGATTCAAGATATAGACAAAAATCCTTGGTAATACTGCTAATTTTCCTGTCATCATGCCATTGTGTTGACAGTTTAAGAGGAACTTCATGTCAGTTTTAGAGTTATTTTTATCTGTGAAAAAAAATAATTGAGAGCTAGTCATAGTTCTGAGAGCACCCTGTAAACCAGGTAAGTTACAGCAAGACAAGTGATTATGTCAATTCCTTCTGCTTGATATAGCACATAAATGATGTAGAAACGTTTTTACATATTGGAAGAAAAGGTAGTGCTAGTTCTATAATTCTATATAGCAAATGTTATAATATAATTGAATTCATTGCAAAAGTAAATTTGATTGTTCTCTAGCTTGTAAGGTGTGTTAAGTCCAGCTCTTTAGAACTATGTAAAGGCAAAGTTGATTTAAACCCAAGCAAATATTCTTAATGTTATTTTATGACACCTTGACTCCAGTGGATCTATGGTGTAAAGGGAGAATTATATTTTTCAAATAAATAAAAAAATTCCCTTTGCAAAAAAACCATAATTAACAGCTATCATTTGGACTTGAGGTTTAGTCTTGAAAATAATATTTAAGTAATAACACAACCTTAAAAATGTATCATATCATGGAATAATGGGAGCATATATCATTTAAAGTTAGTCCTTAACTGTATAGTATTCTAGCCAGCTCTCTATGACTCTAAGTTGCAGAGATGATGCCAACCAGCTTTTGGTAGAGGGAATTTCCTCACTGGGGAGTTCCTATGTCAGTGGAATCACAGATTGAATCCCTATTTTCAGAATATTGATGTGAATTTTGAGTATTTAAAAAGTAATAATATGTATTAATTTTTGATAAAAATGAAATCCCTCCCCAATATAACTCATCTGGTGCCAACAACTGGTTTTCCAAATTTGTTTTTTTTAACTTCTTAACAATGTAACTTGTCTTTTGGACATGTCTATACATTTTACTTCCCAAGAGTAGATTTAAATGTTTTGGCAGTTACCCAAATCCCTTCAACAGAACTTAACAAGTGAAAGAGCAGGCATAAAATGTGTGTAATATTTAGCTATTTCCCAGTTCAAAATTTACCCATCTCAAGTATTTACTTTTTGCATCAACAACATAAGAGAAGCCAAAGGAATACCTTTTGGTTTTTCCTGCTCCTTGTTCAGGCACCATTCCACTAAGTTCCAACAGTGTATTTCTTGACAGAATTGGCAATATCCATTCCTGTCTGTCAGAAGTTCCATCGGAGAGATCACCAGCCACTGACAGTCTTTAAAGAACATAGAATACAAAGTGCAGTTGAACAGCTTTGGTACTGTTCTTAGGCAAGATTTATCATTTAGAACCCCATGGCAATATTATATAATGGATTTCTCAAGCTTTAAAAAATAAGTACTAGAAAGTTACCAACCTATCAATAGGTGTAGCCTCCAGATAGCTTAAAGCAACAGAGAGCACAATAAGGACAACTGGCAGCTTTAGATTGCACATTGCTTCTTCCTATATTTTTTGGAAAGAATTATTTAGAACAGAAATTAAGTATTCCTTGCAGCTCTGACCCCAGTGACATCCCAAATCACAAGCTGTCTTTAAAAAAAAATCCAATCAAACTTCATAGTTAAGGAGGACCACAGTCCCAATTGCTATATTCCTTCATTTCATGAAATTAATTTTTCTTATCTCCCCTCTTTGCTTTTCCAAACTATCTTTGAACATTTGAAATTGTGGTTCATCTTCATTTAATTTTTCTATGAATAAATGACAAAAAGCACCACCCCATCTGTCCAACTGCCCCAAACAAGTACATACTTTAAATATCAGAAACAGGAAATTCTTTACCTTTTACTGCTTAAGGGACTGAAGAAATCAGAAGAGCTTTTTTTTTTTTTTTTTTTTTTTGCTGGCAAGAAAGGTACACAAAACAGTTCCAAGCTTGCATCCACTTCTGGAGTAATCTCCCCCCACCCCTTTGCTACCTAGTAATACTGCTTTTATATACCCTTCACACCTTTCACAGCTCTGACATCAGGCAGCACAGAAAGACTCTGTCATTAATTTCCATCCCTATAGATAGAATGTGCCTCACAGAGAGCAGAGGAAGATAGGTCATTATTACATTAACACATCAGTAAATATTAACATAGCAGATACAGGGTGTTTTGTGCAGGTAATGTTGTGTCATATATGTAAAAAGACTTTTCATTTTACATCTTGGTAAAACAGCAGACTAACTGTTTCTTGTAGGAATTTTCAAGGAGTTAATGATGTATCATGTCATTAGCATGGAAATGATGAATTAGTAAAATATTAATACAAGCAACTTAAGCCCAGTCTCACTACCCAACAACATTCTGCCTAAAGACAAACATGAAGTGTAGAACAGAGTAGTGAGAAATCATGAAAATATAAGTAAAATCAAAATACTAAATCTCCTGGGGAAGAGACTAAGACAAAAGTGGACAACTGTTAAAATGTAAATAAAATAAAACAGAAATCTTTTCTCTGTAAATAAATATAAAAATCATTTATAGTGACTTTTCCCAATAACAATTTACAGTGATGTATAAAAAGAAAGGCAAATGTTTAAAAAGTGAAAGTATTTCCAGATTGTCACCTCTGTTCATGTTTAAATACATGGACATGCATGCACATAATATACATATATGGTAGGTACATAATACAGATAGAAACCATTCTTACTTAAATCTCTTTTCTAAAAGTAATATTTCTCCTTAAATTTGTAATTGTTGTATCATATACCTTGTATATCTTAAAAGAAATGTTATTTTTATTTTAAAATTATGAATAGTTCAAAAATGTTTTAGTTTTTTAAAATGTGGGCAATTTATGGTCCTCCAGACAGTTAGGATAGCAACATAATTGCTTTCCCTAAACCACAGAAACTTCGAAACTTCAGAAAACAGGCATTTATCCCAAATATAGGGTATTAACAGCTGAATCCTTAAGATAAAAAAAATGTCAGTCAGCTTAAATACCTAGAGCTTTCACTCAGCATCCACACATTTAGTGCACTCCTTATAATGGGTATAGCAAATACAGACAAACTCAGTCTTCCAGTTGTAGGAACTCCAGGCAGTGACTTGATCTGAATCTCTTTCCCTAAGTCCCCAATATATATATTCTTTTTACCAATGAAATCAGAGGCCCAGTCCCTACCTATTGTTTTTGAGGCAATACTTAAATGTATATACAATTGTGTGCATATAATTCTGTGTGTATAATATATAGATATATAAATATACACATAATATACATGTTATAGGTATATATGCATATATTCATATATACTTGTATGTGTGAAATAATTTTGGTGTGGATTCTGAGTAAAAGCTCTAAGTATTTATACACACATGCACACATTCATATACATACTATTTATTATACATACACAGACATATATACATATATACACATATGTACATATATTTGCTTTCTTATTCATTATGTGGCTCTCCTCTACTCTCCTCCCCTCCCCCCTTTTATTGTTTTAGCCCATTTACCTTCAAAGTTATGATTGTTAGGCTTCTGTTTTCCAATCTTTGCCTAAATGTTAGGAATTTTATTGATGTGGTGCTTGGAGAGTTTGTGACTGTATCCATAACTTTTAGAAGAAGAAACCAAGTAGAGCTTAGTAGTCACTATATAGTTCACAACATTTAAAGCAAGCTAATTACCATAACAAGGTGTTATACAGGTCTTTTCCATAACTGTTAGTGGGGGAAAGTTTTTTTTTTAAAATTAAATGAGAGATAGAAGCTGTCACAAAAAGACAAAATAAGAAATTATGATTATTCAAAAGTTGAAAAAACTTTTTTTTTTTACAAAAATTCAATGTAGCTAGGATAAGAAATGCAGTTATTGATTAAGGTAAAAAAATGTAGCTAGGATAAGAAATACAGTTATTGATTAAGGTAAAAAAATCTTTCTGTCAAGTATCTCGGATAAAAAAATGGATGCCCAACGGCTGGATGAACATACAGTTATAAGAACAAAAGTCATTCCCCAATGAATAAGTGGTCAAAGGATATGAATAAACAGTTCTTAAAAGAAGACTCTTAAACTATTAGTAATCATATGAAACATTGCTTCAAATCACAAATGAGAAAAAATACAAATCAAACAATAGAACTTTCATCTTTTTTAAAATCACGGATTGATTTATTATTTTATTGATTTCTAGATTTTAGAAAGTGATAGGGAAAATGTTAATAATTCAGATTAAACTTAAAAGTGTGTCATTTATGCAAATTTTTTTCACTAATATGCCCCTGCTTTAATCTTATCACTTTCATTCAGTTATAAAAAGTTAAGCATTTTATCCACCTTTAGGATAATCCACTGAATATTAAACATCAAGGAACAACTTCAATTTATCTTTGGTCTATGTGAACTTCACCCAACATAAAGAAGTGAATAATGAAGTAATAAAAATGATTATAACAATGTTTTCCATCATTTGTACTTTCTTCACTGTGTTGTGAGATGTTAAGAGTTAGTATTATTATGTCCATTTTACAAATCAAGAAACCAAGACTCAGAGAGTTTAAAATATTCACTAGTGGTCATTATGCATGCATGAGGTTATCATGCTTATGATTCCCTCTATCATTGATGATGTGTAGAAAAAAAAGAGAGAAAACTACTTTACCTTACATTGGGGATATCCATTTACTTTGAACCTCCATAATTATAGACAAGAAAATGAGATTTCACCTTTCATCTAGAAAACTGGAAAAGATAACAGAAGATGGAAACATCAATACTAAACAGCATTTGAGAAGAAAGGCACACTAATATATTATTGGTTGAGCTGTGAATTTCTTCAACTATTCTAGAAAGAAATTTGGAGTTATATATATATATACATACATACATATACATACATACACATATACATATACATATATGGCAATTAAGGTTAAGTGACTTGCCCAGGGTCACACAGCTAGTAAGTGTCAAGTGTTTGGTCTGAGGCTGGATTTGAACTCAGGTCCTCCTGACTTCAGTGCCAGTGCTCTATCCACTGCGCCACCTAGCTGCCCCTGGAATTATGTTTTTAAGAAAATGATTAGACTACACATAGCTGTTGATCCACAGATCCTACTGAAATATCTCTTCAAGGAAATAAAAACCAGAAAAGAGTGCCATGTAAACTAAAATATTCTTAGCAGTTGCTGAAGGTAATTTTAAAACCAGCACTCTCTTAGTTCCAGTTCTTTGTTTTGTATCTTCCTCTTTTAAGTATCAAAACCATATTTGTTTCATAGAAAGAATTTGTGAGCATCCTTTCTTTGCTTATTTTGCAAACAGCTTATATAACTGGAATTAGTTGTTCTTTCACTGTTTGATTGAATTCTTTTGTACGACTGTGTGGTCCTGGGTTTTTAAAAAATTTATTAGGACATCATTTGTGGCTTGTACAACTTCTATTTCTTAGAATGAGTTATCTAAATATTCCATTCCTTATTCTGTTAATCTGTTTTTTTGGTACATATTTATAAATTCAATTTAAATAATCAGTTTTGTTGGAATATAATTGGGAAAATATAATAATTTCCTTTGTTTCTTCACTTGTGATTTCTTATTTTTCATTTTTAATTCTGGCAAATAGATTTCCTAATCTTTAAAAATGAGCCTAACTAATCAGTTATCTTCACCCCCCACCAAAAAAACCCCAGCTTTTTCATTTATCAATTCATGTTTACATTTAATTTTGTTAATTTCTTCTTTGATTTTCATGATTTATATTTTGGGGTTCAGTTGAATTTTAAGTATTTGCTGGTTTTCAGGTGTTTTTTTTATTACATGTACAATTAATACATTATTTCTCTTTTTTACTGATGCACATATTTAGTGACATGAAGTTTTCCATTGGGAGTACTTTGGCTTTAAATTTTGATACGTTGCCTCACTATTGCCATTTCCTTTGATGAAATGTTCTGTTGTTTGTATGATTTGTCATCTGATCCATGAATTCTTTAGGAATTGAATTATTCTTCTTGAATGATTTTTCATCCTTTCTCCAAAAGCCCTTTGTCAAAGATAATTTTATTGCATTGTGATCACTAAAGGATATGTCTAATATTTTTATTTTTCTGCTTTGGTTTGTGAGGTTTTTACACCCTGGTAAATTTGGTGATTACACCCTGGTGAAATTTTGCAAAGGTGCAATATATAGCTGAGAAATATGTACATCCCTTTCTGTTATCATTTAACAATTGCCAGACATATATGTAACTTTCTTAAAATTCTATTCACATATTTGATTGTATTCTCTTTTATTTTTGGTTAGATTTGTTTAGGTCTGAGTGGAGGTAGATTGAGACAACCAGGTATTATAGTTTTCTATTTCTTCATCTGGTTTAGATGAAATTGAGGTTCATGAGCAGCCTACTTCACCATCACTTCCTCCATGTCTTATAAGCTTCTTCTTCTGTATGCTTATATATAAGATAATAAATTCCATTCCC